TCCCAACGACTCGAGATTCAACGCTCGTGTGTTCAGAGCCTCTACCATCAGTAACCCCACATATTCTAGAGCGCTCGCATTCACTACCGAATCCGATGCCTCGACGGCCTCGAGCATCGAGTAGTGAGGTAACTTCTACTCGTAGTACTAAGTCAACAACATCTGTGTATGTCTAGGACAGTCGGAGTGGTGACCGTCAGCCGCTCGGTCTGGACATGGTACGGCCAATCCAGGAGCCCCTCGATCATTATAGTGGGATATTCTCGACGTCCACGTGTGAGGTATGCGTAGGTTTACCCCAAATCAAGGATGAGGAGGAGATGATGATGCAACAAGCAATAGCGTTGAGTCTCCAACCGGACGAGCCCGCGGCCCCTAGTGCTCGGCAAGACTCCTCCATCAGTTTCCTAGCTCAAGAGACTGATCTCCTGCATCTCGATGACTCCGAAGATTCCGCTTCTACTACCCGAGTAGAGCGGGTAGTGAATAAAGCTGGCGAGAGTGACGCGAATGGGGTTCATTCTGGCACTGAGGTGGTCGAAGTCGATGCTGGTGAGAAGTCCCCGCAGCAAAAATGATTACTGCTATGTCTCTTATTGTGAATATTTTGTACGTTGTGTATTATCGTATTATATGACTTGATTTTCCTGTGGATCGTTGTTCTGCGTTAGAGTCATTCCCTGAGACTCCATTGAGAGTAATGAGTCATTTTCACTACACGAACGCCATGAATGTTCACAATGTGTCGATGCCCCGTGCAAAATACAATCATTAACGGTAGTTGCTTAGCTTTGTCTCATACAGAGTAGTGCAGAAAAAAGTTCACGTCTTGTAAATGTGCGGTGCAAGAGAGTTGATGAACAAAATAAGTTCCTGTATGAAATTAGAACTTTTCTCTAAGTAGCCGATTTTGCATTTGACGATATTTTAGTGCACAATTCGAATATCAGAATCGTTTTTATAGCATTGTGTTATGCCAGTCGGGAGAGTTACCAGATATGGGACTCAACCGTGAGGAAGGTATCTCAAGGCCATAGATTTCATCTCGAGCACAGCGGAGCGAAGTGTTCCACGCTATGCATAGTGTTCCACACAAGTGTTAAGTCTCGTTTTGATTCACCACCATGTACTGCTATCAACACATCGCTATAGACCGACCGTATTCTTATCTATCGCATTCTACTCTAGTCGTTGAGTATAACAGTGCACTTTGAGGTGATCTGAGAACCACTACACCGAGACTCGAAAACAAGACAGCGAATTGTAATGGACACAACATTGATAGAAAAGAAGTTCAGCATGCCTGTCGCCCGAGCTGTTGACTGCAGGGCGTTGATCAAATGACCTGGTGGAGGGCAATACGGTTGTCTCCATCGTAAAAGAGGGAGATGTGCTTCCTGTCATCATCGAAGAGTCGACGGGCGAACTGAGATAACAAACGCAATGAACGGAGTTATAAATCTATTTAAAATATACTGCTAGCGATAATAGGGTCCATCCATTATAAGCAGTGTGAGAGAATATTCACAAAGCGACTACATTTGTCGGTAACAACATTTGGGAATTTTGGGGAATTCTTATTGGTTTCGAAGACTTCTGCCCTGCTCCGTATACGAGCTACTATAAATAGTGAGGAAACTCCCGAGCACAGCTGAGGAAAGCGAACGTATATTCCAACACTGATTATAACACATGTATATCCATAGCCAAGATTAAGACATCATATGTATATATCCGTTTTACAACGCACGTTATGAACTTGGTCGTTATGGACACATGGAAAAATTGTGGGAATGACAATAAGGCGCTCAA